ATCCCTGGCGCACTCCGTTCGTCTGGGAGATCGGTACGGTGGCGTCCCCGAGTACCACCTTGAATCCTCTTGCGCCGATCAGCTGCAGCCATGTGCGTGACTCCCACGGGAGCGAGTCCCCGAGCTTGTTGGCAATGAGGTCCCCGAGATAGACTTGGCTGATGGAGTCGAAGGCTTTACGCACGTCTAGCTTGATAATCCAGAATTTTTCCTGCCATTCGTGCGACTGCTGGGCCAGGCGGCGCAGGGCCAGGATGAGTTCAACAGACTGGCTGCCAGCTTTGCAAAATTGGAGGGCCCCAATTGGTCGCAGCAGGGGCAGGCCCCGTCGAAGTAAGAGCTGTGCCGTGATCTTCAGAAGGATGTTAGACAGCGTGATAGGTCTGGTGTCAGCGAAGTCGTCTGGCGCTCGCGTCTTTGGAAGGAGGACCGCGATACCCTCATCGAGCCCCGGGGGGAAGGTCCCCTTGTACAGCACGTCGTTGAAGAACCAGAGTAGCCTCGCCAGCCCCCGCCTGGTGAGAGAGATGTAGCGGACCGCTTCGTGGCTGATGCGATCCTCCCCGGTGGCCTTGTTGTTGCGCCATTTGGCCATGATTCCCCTCAGGTCGTCTTCAGTGAAAGGTTGCCACGGGGTTGCCTTGCATTTCTTGGTAAGGCTTACGGTAAGCTCGCGCACCCTCTCCTGAACAACGGTGGGGTCCTCCTTGGCGAAAATGGCTTGAAAGTGTTTGGCCAGTTGTTCTCTCCAGTCGTCCTTGTCCGTGAGGGCTTCCTCCCACTGCTTGTCCCCGCGCGCCTGATTCTTGACCTCCCGGTACGCGTACCACGATCGTTCTCCCGCTCGCCTTGCAAGGTCCTGGGCCCACGCTTTGTGCTCCTTCTTGCGGCTGCTGTGGACTTGTTGATGTCCCTGTAGTCGCTGATGTGCACTGTAGTGGAATGGGTGCCCTTGATCATCACGTAGTCCAAGCGGCGCGGCCGGAGCTCGGTATTGTATGGAAAATGGCTTGGTTCCTCAAGTCTCTGCGGCGGGAGCCGGAGTTGGTGCTCCAGAAGCCAGGCTAGGAACAAGTCCCCGCGTGCTGTGTGGGCCACGGCTGTGTTGCCCCCGGCTCTGGTAGTGAACGACTCGTTGGCGTCTGCTCCCATACAGACGCGCCTTTCCTGGATGGCGGGGTGCCGGGCGAGCGCTGCGAGCTGGACCCCGACCTGGTCCACAGTGGCATGGTGCGGGAGGTGGTACGAGATGACCCCGCAGACTGCCTTACCCTCGCCAACGACTGCTCGGGTCACGGTGCTTACACGGGTGTGGGTCCCCAACTCTTTGCGGAAGGCCACTGCTGTACCTCGCCAGTCCTTATCTGTTTTGCCAGCCACCAGTCTCGAGTCTTGATCCCTTCGGGAACGACGACCTCTTGAAAGCACCAAATGTCAACTTTGTCAAGGGGTGGTGATCCCCGAATCGCGGGCAATAGAACCTCCAACGTCTTAGACGGGGTGAGGCCCCCGAGATTCCAGGTTGCCACAACGAGGTCACGGGTGGGCTGTGGCTGTGATGCCCCCCGTTGTTGGTGAAACTGCAGGCGCTGTTCTTTGGATAGTCACCGCAGGGCCGCCGCAAGCGGCCGCCATGCATCTGCGATGGTGTCCCCGGTAAAGGAGCCTTGCGATCTGCCCGAGGTCGACCCATCCTGGCCCTGCATCAGTGGCCCCCTCTGGCTTTGGGCCCCCGGTCGAAGAGATCTTGCGGTTGTCATACCACACGGAACCAGTAGCAAACTCCACGTCCAGGGCTTGGTGGGATCCCTGCTGTTCGAGAACCAGGCGCTTGACTTTCGCGGCCAACTGGGCCCTCTTCCTCCGCTCTGGCGGTTGGGAACCTGCCATCCAAAGCCGGGACGGCGTCCCGTCCTCTTTTTCTCCCAAGGTAACGTTTGCGTTACGAACTCGAACGACGGCCTTCTGCACGCGGTCCCTCATCGTGTACGTGTCCTCGTCGGCCCTGGTATAGTCATAGGTACGATCACGTATCCTCGGCGGAGCCCCGGGACGAATGCACCTTCCATGTCCACATCGACTTGCAAATCTCGCAGGACTGTTTTCGCTTTTTCCAACGTGGTCGCGGCCTCCTGGTCCGGGCTCCACCCTCCGACTATGAAGGCGGGTCTGCGGGGCTCCCCGGCATCACGGCGTTCGAGAGGGATCTTGTTTGCCAGTTGCTTGGTTTCCGCCCCGACTTGGACTATGGCGACCCCCTGCTTGTCCTGTCGGGCAGAGAGCTCTTGCATGCTGGAGAGGGCCTTGTTGAGCTGCTTGGTGACCCCGCGTTCCACGTCCTCGATGCGGCGGTTTACCTTTGTAATGGCCTCCCCGATCTCCTCCTTGATCTCACGCGAGAGGCGGCTTTGTTGTTGGGCGAAGCCTTCGCGAAGCTCGCCTCGGAGTGCTTGTGCAATGGCTTCCACGGTCAGGGTCGGTGCCAACGTTGTCCCCGCCACTCCACTGCTGTGATCCCCGGCGCTAAGTCCTCGCTTCTGTGGTGAATTCCCTTCATGATCCACTGTCATGTTCCCGAAGGCCACCGGGTCGTCGGCATCAGGGATGGTCATGGCCTCCTGCGACTGAACCTTGGTAGTGCGCGCCCCCGTGTTCTGGCTGTCGTCCAGAGGCTTGGCTGGGCGCCCTAGCAGGGGTACCACCTTTCCCGGTCATGTTGCGGAGAATCGTGCCGAAGGTGAGGTCCCCGGGCCGCGCCGATCTTGTTCGGGTAGCGGATGCTAAACTCCCCCGCTCGCCACCAGGCGCCGATCCCCAGGTTCTTTGAAGCCACCGAACTCGCGGGAGTCAACGGGGAAGGCGAGGTCGTGTAGTGCAGCAGACTGGTAGTACAGAACGCACGGGGGGGCTATGGAGGCACAGGTCTCTCTCTCAGACGTGCGCCCGGGTTGCTCCCCTGGTTACTCTCAGGGCTCGGGGCTCGAACCGCTCACGGCCTTGAGCCAAAATGGCTCTCTCTCTCTCTCTCTCTCTCTCTCTCTCTCGGGCATGGGGGCCGGTCAAAGCCCCCGGGCAGCTTGCCCACCCGATGTGTTATCGGGCTTAGGGGAGTGAAATTCGAGTGTAGATCTCAGCGCAAGCTAACGCCATAAAGTCTACGATGACGGAATGCTAGGATCGTACACTCTCCAAGGACATGTGCTTCACATGCAGTCATCCCCCTGTTCGAGCAGAAGAGTAACATGACCATAGTCAAATAACCATTACATTGTTGCTCTTGGGAGATACTACAATGTGTTTTGTTCCCCGCTGGTGCCTTACGCAACCGCGAATTAGCGAGGCGACGGAAGCTGCCATTCAACTGGAGTAAGTTGGCAAACATATCTAGCAGTAATGAAGACAATACTCTTCCGCTTCTGCCCTGGCTACGATCAAGATCCCCCTCTCTCTCTCTCTCTCTCTCTCTCTCTCTCTCTCTCTCTCTTCCGGGTAAGAGAGAAGGGCAGCGTCCTGGCCCTTCTCCCGTGCGGTCCGCACACCCGCAACGCTTGGCGGGGCGATGTCCCCCCCAGGGTTTCACGACCCCAGAGGGCTCGGCTGTACGAAAACAAGTTCCCCCAGTCAGCTCTCTCTCTCTCTCTCTCTCTTTCTTTCGCCAGGCTTGAGGGCAAGCCCCCACCCAGAGGGCCACCCCTGTTGTCGGCGCGCACGGTATTACGTGTCTCTCTCTCTCTCTCTCTCGGGCATAGGTGTCGGTCAAGACCCCCGGGCATCATGCCCACCTGCAATCTCTCCTGCTTGCTGAGGGGTTTTCTCTCTCTCTCTCTCTCTCTCTCTCTCTCTCTCTCTCTCACAAGCGGACAAACCAAGAGACAGAAACGAACAAAGAGCGAAGAGGGAAATGAGGAAGACAGACCACGTGGGCATTTCCACAAAGAGGTCGTTTTATGGCTGCTACACCTTCGGCTATTGGAAACCCTTTCACAAAGGCCCTAAACTGGCCCAGAGTATGGCGACGACCCAGTCCGCCAACCGTGCTGCTTTGTCCTGGGATATAACAGTAACAGGTATACGGAAATTCGGTGACATCCGTGAGCAAATGCCAAATCTCATCTGACCTACTTACTTACTTAAGTACTTATTTACTTACTTACTTACACACACACACATTCTCTCTCTCTCTCTCTCTTTCTCTCTCTCTCTCTCTCTCTCTCTCTCTCTCTCTCTCTCTCTCTCTCTCTCTCTCTCTCTCTCTCTCTCTCTCTCTCTCTCTCTCTCTCTCTCTTACAGAGAGACATCAGGGGGACAAAATAAGAGAGAGAGAGAGAGAGCGAGCGAGCGAGCGAGAGCGAGAACAAGAGAGCGCGCGCGAAAGAGAGAGAGAGAGAGAGAGCGAGACAGGAAGGAGAAAGAGAAACAAAGCGACAGAGAGAGAGAGAGAGAGGGACGGGAGAGAAAGAAGAGAGAAGAACCAACACAACAAGAGACAGGAGAGAGACAGCGAGAAGAGAGAACAAAGAGGAGAGAGTGCAAATACGGAGAGAGAGAAGCAAACCCAGGGAGAGAACAAACTGGATACGAGAGAAGAGAGAGAGAGAGAGAGAGAGAGAGAGAGAGAGCAAGAGCAGGCAGACAAGAAGAGAGAATCACAGAGAAGATCGGAAACGAGAGAGACTGAGAGAGATTTGAGTACAACATCTCAAGAGCCCGTAAATGCATGGGGTCTGAAATGGGTCCGCGCTCAAAAGTCTAAAATGGGTCGTCGACCATTGCAGACCCCAACCACTGCCCGCACCAAGCCTCCCCCCCCCGCCTTCTCAGACCTCACAAACTGGGGGGATGCTTCAAGAAAGTCTGTGCATGTGGGTCGCATATGGCTTAGCACTTGCACCGACATATCCACACGGAGTAAGTAACAGCACTCAATCAATTCAACAGCTTCATTCACCTGCAGGCTGCAGGTGACACGTCGAGTTGTGGTCCCTTTCCAACCAAGGTGCAGAGAGATTCTGATCTTTGTCCCAGTTGTCCTGGACCTGGTTGTGTGCGGAAATGTCGGCATCTCGTGAACATTCAGTTCTTCATTTAAACTCTGGCATGCGAGTCCAGTGCCCCCTAAGTTCTGGCTTCATCGGTATAATAATGCAAGACAATGCAGGACACCAGACTAGGCATTGTCCTCTGGCAACTGGGCACAGTACTGGCCGTTGTCGGCCGACATGAATGCATGAGTCTAACAGTCTGAGGGCTAGACATTCACTCGAATCGTCACCTCTCGCTGCACTTTTCTGGCGTACTCTTGCAGGCCTCAGGACTATGATTCTGCTTCTCCATGCCTTGCACAAGTCAAATTGCCGTCTTAAACAGGAGGTGTGCATGTGTACATCGCTAACTCAGGCCCCGCACAGGCAAGTCGCCGCACATCCAGGCACGTAATTTGTCCTGGTGGTTCCCGGGGACTTGATTGTACACGTGGGGGCTCGCTAGGGCTCGAAGGATCCTTGGTGGATCACACACCGGAGCTTCAAGAAGTCATCTCTCAGCGGGTCAGCCTGGTGGCCAGCTACTTTGGTTGGAAGACTCAGTAGCAGTCAGAAGCATATGATGAGACGAGCAATCAAGCGGATTTTGGACGGTATCTCCGGCCTCGGCCAGGACCAGCTTGTCCACCAGCTCTTGCATCGGACGTCCTGACAGGATCGGGAAGAAGCGAGTCGCCTCTGATTTTCTCCGGCTGTGTCCACATCAGGATCTCAGCCCGCGGCCATCCTCGAAACTTCCGCCTCAGATGCCCATGTCTTCTTCTGTTCTGCCCGTGCCCGGGGCTTACGACATCTCACGACCACCGTCAGATATCGAAACTATGATGACTGGACGAATTCTACGATTCCAGCTTTGGCCGGGAAGCGTATGTCGATGGGGTTGGGGCTGCCCGAAACCACGTGGTCAAGGAGCATCTCCTCAGCAAAGCACCCCGAGGCTGCCTCTGAACTGATTCTCTCGGAATTCCAGGCCTTGTCGCCCAAAGGATTCTCGTCAACCTTCTCGCGCCGACGGCCTGGGTGGGGCAGGAGACCCATGTAGCAGGCCTCCAAGCTACCGTTGCAGCTGCGTGCGCTACAGCAGCAGCAAATCGACCTTCCGTAACTTCCAGAAGTTTGGGTGCCTGGGTGCCTGGCGACGTTCGCCTCCTGGAGGCACAGAAGAGGACAAATCATGAGAACGCAAGGAAGCGGGCACACTGTGTGCCCTATCCAGTCTCCGCAGTCACCTTCTTCAAGAGCTACCAAGCGATGTCCGGTGACTTCAACCCCTCGACAAGACTTACCTGCAGCTACACGTATGGGTATGTGACCACATTGTGTGAGGATGCTTGTACAGCCTACTGGCTGCTTATCACCCTGCTCTGCAAGCTCAATGTGACGATCCTCGGGAGCGCGAAGCCGACCGCCTCAGCTCCGACATCCTCACACGGCAAAACGGCCACCCTCCCCTTTTCTGCATCTTCAAGCAGGGATCTCGAAAAGCATCCCAATGCACGACGCCTGGGGTTCTCTATAAAGTATCATGTGCAACCTGAGCCTTGCAGTCTCCCTTGCGATGCAGCAGCCCGAAATGGCCCAACATGTGCGAAAGTGCACGTTCCCCGGCAGCCGCAACTGGGATCCCCACGATCGAGACCTGCGGTGCCGATCACGACCTGCATAAGGATTCCGAACATGTGCGAAGGGAGAAACCCACTAAACGGCGGAAACATGAGGCCTCGATGAGGCTCTCTGTGCCTTGGTTGCAGAAGTATCTACTGCTCTCCTGGGTGCCTAGGCCGAAGAACACTCTGGAGGCATACTGTGGCATGATAACTCGATCTTGTCTCTGAGGCATACAGCTGCAACAACAGAAGGTCTGTGAATCTCAGCTGCCGACCTTTCTCGCTCCCTCCTCCTGGGTAGAAGCAGCATCGGCCACAGCTAAACCAAGAAACCCCAAATCTCTCTGCCAAGAAATACACGATTGACAATTGAAACGTCACCCTTCTCCGATGCAGGAACCTACCATCTCCCACCTCGGTGATCGTGATCTCCGCCGGCGTGACCTACCACCAACCAACTGCAGATGCACTGCTTTCACACAGCATGTCTGCTAGCCTGCAGAAAGCTGTCTTTGTAATCGTTTGCCAGTGTTGATGTGACATCGTCGCGCTCCGGCATTTCGTGCTTCATTTGTGGCATGCAGCATGCCGGCAGGTGTACTTCCCAACCACGCAGGGGCCATCAGAATGACATGTTGAAGCTGCGAAGGCTCGCATGAGCCGAGCAAATGTATATGCAAAGCAAGACTTCCCATGACCACAAGCAGATGCCTATTCACTCCGTTCGTGTCGGGTGCCTAGAGCGGGACCATGAAAATCTCTGGGTTCTCGATCTGACAATGGCAAATCGTGTTCGGCGGCACTACTAGCAAGGAGCTGCTTCCGACAGTTAGGCTCTCCAACACGTGTCAGCACAAAGCACCTCGAAGCGTCGGGGGCTTCATCCTCAGCATGCTGCTGCATATATATTGCTGCGTCAACCGAGTTGCAATGCACAACCTCTGGGCAGGTGGCTAGAGAATGCCGCGCCTGAACAGAATTGCTGTAACTCGCTAAAAGGTATTGTTCGTAGGAGATGCACTCACTGACTGCCCCGTGAATCATGGAGGCTCCTACTACAGATCCCAAAACTGCCAGGACTTGAACATCTTGACTCTGCGTAATTCTGACAGTAACTAGCGTGTGAGTCGTGCCCTCGCTGCTAGTCCGCGACAGTTGGTGTGACTAGACATGGCGAAAAGCTTTTCTGATCGCAAAGCTCCCGAGCTGCAGAGCAGGTTGAGAGTGCGACTGCATAATGTGCAAAATTGCCAACACAAACAGCTCGACGTGCCGCACAACAACTACGCGAAGACGGCCACGCCGGCCACGGGATTCTCGGAGCGAAGCCGGCGAAACAGATGCTGTTGCAACCATGGCCTTGCCTTAAGAGAGCCTACCAAGTCTAGAATGCCTTCGTGCTTACGGTGCGTATGAGTACACCACGTCTGCTCCAGGCACAAGTCTGGCATGTCATACGAGCAAGGATTTCAGTGGCTTCACCCAAAGCATCCTCAAGCTGGCACGGGATGCGTGAACGACATAAGACCATTGCTTCCAGACCAAATCGCCGGGCAAGAGTGACACGCACACAAGCCTCCACGTCTTCTGCCATGCTAGGAGTACGTTGAAATATGAACTCTGGCTGAACAGCTCGTCAAGGTTTGCATGCTGGGCATACTAAGCGTTGAAAGGCGCTTCTCGACTGCGCCGTCTCACAAAGGGACGCAACAGCTTCAGCTGTTTGCGACAGTGTGCACAAACGGCTTGGAGATCGTAGATGCGAGTACTTTGAGAAATCATCCAATGCACCGAATTGCTGATTACCATGCGATATGTTAGGCTTGGGTGATTGCCAAGACCCACAAGCCTTGCCGCTGCATGTTGTGCACAATGACGCTCTAGCTGACCATGCTGGGAAAATCTAGGTTGGGCCGTCTGGCCTTCCGATAAGCTTGCAGTACTGCCCCATGGCCGCATCAGGTCTGTAGATACTCGTGATTGCATCATCCAGCAAGTCACCACATTCTGGAACTTCGGCAACAGGAGCACACAAAAAAACAACTTGAAAAAAGATGGTCCGGGGCCAAGGTCTGAGACCTTTGCCTGCAGATCTGCCAGCAAAGCCATCCCAATCACAGCATGAACATCGTCAAACCTACCAGTTACTACAGAAAGCTTGCCCAGAAGATGGCACACATGTAAGCTTGGCCCAACACCCTGTAGTCGCTCTCAGCCTCCAAGCTCAAATAGCCCCGAGTCACCACGACTGCCACCGCGATTCTCGTTAATGGACACAAGCCCTACCATCTTGGAGCTGGGAACCAGTACCTGGACCCCAAGAATATGTAGAACAATCGAATTTTGTAGGTTTTGGGCCACTATTTCCCTACTTTGGGAGGATCTGGGTAGAGATATCCAGATCATGTCTTCGTGCAAGGAAGCCTTTAGTTTTTGAGACACTTTCAGAACACCACACGGCGAAGACTTGCTGGCATCTCTGGCTGCTCAGCGCATTGTGCCTACACACTGCGGCACAAGCCTCCAATTGAAAAAAAACTCAAGTCGGCTAGTCGGCTAATGTACCATCCGGAGTGCAGCTCTGTGGCTTCACCCCTCATGCAGTTTCACCAGCATGGAAGGATGAGGACACGGCCACCGGCGAGCACCGCTTCACTCTTTGGGGGCCTCCGGCTCGTGTGACAACATACCTTGGCACTCTGCAAGAAGCCATGAATTGTAGCTGCTGCTTTTGTCTCTGCCCCGATGTGGCAATGCCGCATCTTGAATCTTGCCAGCAACGGCTGCTATGTCCCGGGCAAACCGACCCGTGCATGGAACGTGCAGCTGATGAGGCAGCCCCTCTCTCTTCGTCTGACAGTTCGAGAGTTGACGGAAGTCGCCCAGACGCGCACAAACACCACACACAGCCGCTAGTTTGGCATCCAGCTGTTATCTTCTGCTGGTTCCGAGGGGTCTCCTGATCGCTGCGTAGCCCGATCTCGGGCTGAGACATGCTGAGACCTGTGTGCTGAAGAAGTGAAGAGGCTCTCCGTTTATCAACCGTTTGTCTATCTCTTGCTCGCTTGCTGTGAGGTCTGAGCGCAAGCCAAGCTTAAGTCTCCTTCTATTTCCGCGGCTAAGGAGGAAGGAGTGACCTCCCTGCCTCCCTCTCTGTCTTGCTTGCTCTCCTGGCATGCGGATGCAGGCATCCGCTGTGCACCGGGTCTGATGGCCACTGGTGAGCCGGTGAGCACTCTGTCCTCGTCTAACCCTCCCTTTCATTCCCTTTCAACAGCCTCCAGATGCGTCAAGGCTGCACGAATCCAAATTTCCGTCCCAAATTTCCTTTTGGGGCAGCTCCTCCGTCTTGAACCTGCCATGCTTCAGTATGCTCTAAGAGCCCCAAGAGCGTCGTGCGTCGGACAATGCTCAACGAGGTCTAGAGCCGAGCCCGGCATGTTTCCTTGCCAAGTTGTGTTCTAGTTATTCTAGTTCTGCCTGATCTGGTGGAGCAACACGTGTCGCACCTCAGGCCAGCGTAGTTCTTGTCTTCTCCCGGCGGCCACGTGTAGCTGAGCTCAAACTTGGGATCATCCTGGAGGACACGCACACATCCTAGTCTACCCCGAGCAGTGTACGGCTCTGAGAGGCCCAACAGCGTCTTGACCAGTGCTGAAGGATCTATGTTGCGTCTCAATGCGCAGCAGCAGCGGCGTCTTGCGGCTTCCCATTTTTTGATGCTGGCTGCAGGCGGCCAACCCTAAGCCCGAAGCTGCCACGGCTCGACCGGGACCTTATCAGGCCTTGCAGCTCCTGTCACCTGGTTTTCCAGGTGGCAGCCTGCCGCGAACTCCCGTCACAGAGGCTAACGCAGCCTCTACAGCCGGGCTTTACCGAAGCTCATCCACTCGGGACGTACAGCACCCCCAGCGCTGTACAAGACGGCTAGAAGAGCAGCAGCGAACAGATTCTGCATGACAAGCCTGCGTTGGGCGGCTATAGTCACAAAGCAAATGCTTGTGAGAGGGACGCGAATAGCGTGCTATACACATAGTGGGAACCACAAGTGCGGCAAGGCGGCTCATTGTAAAAAGTTGCCCACGACTGCCGGCCGTCTAGTAAAGCCAGGAAAGGTACCAGTGACGTCTGCCTTGGATTCCAGAGACAACGGCACGGCAAAAGGAACACTGACCAACCAGCCCTCTCACGCATCCCAGTTGCTCCTCCTTCCAAGCGGACAGCTCCCCACTGCGTCGTTGCACGCGATCCTTGGTCTCAGCCCTAAGGCGGCCGGAAGAGAGCACGGCTGGCATGGGCTGACTGCAGATCCAAGGCACGCTATGCAGCGCGAGAATGCTAAACGAGACGACGGGGCCAAAGCCCCAGAACGCCATCTTGCAGGGTAATCTTAAGGTTCGCTGTGCGACAAATACAACTTCACCGAGTTTCCACTCAACCATGACGCTTGATCAGCTCGGATCATGATCTCTACCAAAGTAAGCTTTTCATAGTGAGCTTACCAGGCCTGGGTCGCTGTCGTTGCAACCAGAGCCCCGCCAATACCGAAAAAGCCAATGCCAGCCAGTTCAGGACGCCGCGACAGGCGGGTGATGCCAAACACCTGCCACTGCTTTGCGCTGCCGTCTGTAATTTGATCTATAAGTCATCACTCAGTGCCCCACGTGATAGCATTACGGCTCTACACATACACTGGACCTTGAAGGCAAAGGGGATGACCGAACCAGACATCCCAAACCTTGCACATTGCATTCTTCAAACAGGGAGCACCTCCCCACGCCCAGCGTGCGCATTGAAGTCAAAGGGGCAGGCCATCGCCTCCGACGGGTTTAAGTCGTCTCAATCAATCGGTTCTCCAAGTCACTAAACAGCCCTCTAAAATAACACAAGCACGCTGGGGCCAGTCCTCCAGAATCGTCCCCCGCCTATCAAAATCTAATTTGCAGGGGGGCTCAGGAACAAGAGCAAGACGAACCAGTAGCAAATCACGCGCTTCAAGGGCCAAGCCACTCCTCGCACTTGAGGCGGCAGATCCTGGCACACAAAATGCTGCAAGATAACGCGGCGCACGGATTTCACTAAAGTGACTGCTGGGCATTCCAGCGTCCCCTCCCTGTAGCGTCAACAGGAGCTGGCTTCAGCAAACGAGCTTGGACTACGTAACCATCCGAAGCCTCGACGTGGACTTGCGAAGCACCGAACAAATTCAACAAGGACACACTAAGCCGCCCTGATCCGAAAACGCATGCTCTTGCGCTCGCTGCAAAGGGCAAGCGAAGCATGGCTGAACGTCCGGGTCCTTGGGAGGCTCATAAAGGCCCAGCGCGATCTGCAAAGCTCCCAGGTTGATGGGAGGCATCAGCTGGCCTCGGTTCGGGGAGACGGGCTTTGCATGAGTCCTGGGATCTGTGCCATCTAACCGGATCTAGCCAAGGACTACAGCGTTTGGGTTGAAGGAATGGAGCTCCTCGGCAAGTATGAAACTAAGACATCCGGGGTCTCCTGATAAAAAACGGTGTAGCGGCCATTAGGGGATAAGCAAGCTAGCATGTATTTGAGAAGGCTTCAGAAAGGCTCCCAAGCGGTGCAACAGGGGATTCACTACGTGCTCACAAGACTTATCAGTGGATTTTCGACGGCTTGACAAGGGCCTGAAAAGAGCTGAGAAGAGCTTGTTAGGTGCTTGTGGTAGGAAGGGAGAGTAAGGGTTCAGACAGGTAACAGCTTCGCAAGCTCAGTAGTATGGGTTTCAACATGTCCGGGGCTCGATTGCTTACGAAGGGGAAGGATTCGGACGGGGAGAGCCCTTCGAACTCAGACATTTGCAACACGAAAACAATGGAGGAAGGTCCTCAAATGGACAAATGTCTGCCTGTCTGATGGTGAAGAAATTGAGGCCACACTCACCCCAAAGAACTGTCTCTTCAGCGGCACTGAAGCTGCACATGGCCTGATCACCGCCCTGAAGA